TGCAAAATGCACCGTTATTCATGGGGCAGTATAGTTTCGAAGTTGTGTCCCGTATTATCAGTATTTTTTAAATATTAGATTTGATTCTGCTTTATTTTGATAAGTAAGGTAACACGATGGACACTTTTATATATTGACAGTTTGTTAAAAAGGAAACTTAGTTTACCGAAAAAAGGTAAGCAAAACTAAAATAATATAGTGTCGTCTGCACCGTTTCGCTCGAACGAGCAAAGAACCGCCGTCAACAAATTCGCTGGGATTGTTTTTTACCTTAAAACGGGGGAGTCGTCGTCTGTGCATGCGTCAGATGGCCATAGCGCGTTTCCGTTTACAAACAAGCGTCTACCCGTGAGCCTTTGCATGTTTAGCTTGTGTTGTTATCGTCGCTTGGGACTCAATTCCCGCGCGTGCGCAGGTGACGACCCTCCCGCTTTAAATTAACATGGTTGGTGGCATGCAATTGAGCGTCCTACTATCTAAATATTCAAAAATACAAAACAGAAATCTTGCTCAATAAATTTAAAATTTGTGGGTACAAGAACCGCATGCTTTTAACGTGTTTATATTATATGTAATTTTGAGAATAATGTAAGGCAGGCAGGGCGATCAAAGTGCTATAAAATACAGTCACTAAGATTTAAAGGGTAACCTATCACCAGAGGGCGATCGTGCGCTCAAACATTCAATTACGTATGTGGGCGCCACTGAAGGCCATCGAACTTTAGTTGAACTACAAGTCAAGGAAGCTGTACTTAGGTTGTACTATACAAGACCCCCTAACCGGGAACTAAATTTCAGTAATAACATTCAATGCAATACATGCCCAGCAAGTGCTACTGTTGTTGGAAAGCTGTGCGACTAATAGTATTCGCTGCGGTTTTGATCCCTGATTCGTTGGTCCGATTTCTTGTACTACATGTTTTAGATTGCTGACTACTCTAATGGATTGTGGATAATTTTTAATTGTTGGGCAAACACTACAAAGTAGAGCCACGTTTTTTTTTTCCAAAAATCCTCTCAGACTCTCAGTTTTTAAACTCGTAACAGAACAACCCCATCTAAAATTTAGGTGAGTTACCCCTCCCATCCCGCACTGAGTAGAACAAACCAGAGGTCAGAATGACTACGATTAAGTAGTTTAAGGGACAAACAAAAGTGACATAATACTACGCCCAGAAGCCCATAACCCACTTATCCCTGCAAATCTATGTGGATATTGCATGATATGAATACGATTATTCTACACTAGTTGACACGCTCCAATAACGTAACCATGGCAGCGTATTTAGAAATTCAAGAGGGTTGAATCAAAACTACAGGGCAAAATTCAAAATTATGAAAGCCGCCCTCTAGCGGTTTAGACTGGAGGACATAAGGTTTGTTTGTTTTCCACTAATCCTACATAACATTTTATGATGCTTGAGTTGCCAGTTTTTACGAGGTTATATATCCTGCTTTATGCTTAATGTGTCGATACACAAGAACAATGTGAATCGCGTGATATGCATTCGTGTTTGCTGTGCCCGTGGCGGACAATCGTGGCTGGCATCATTGTGGGGGCACCTGAATTACCTTGCATGCTTGAATGAATATAAACGATGTAAATTATCGACCTTACATTCAATCCATTCTGAAAAGTTTTTCAATCTCACTAAATGCCAGAATCTGGGCGTAGAAAAACAGAAAAAAAAAGTTTTCTACTAAAACGCGAAATATTAATAAGTACATGCATACATAGATTTATAAGGAACGTTAAACTCAAAGGGCGGTAGTCGTCGCGCGCGTCCTGTTCGATATGGGACTCATAGCGACGTATACAACGCATGTAAAATACATTGTTTGTTTACATGAAATTCGAACACGCGCTGCTAGGCGACCACTGCCCTTTAAAAGTACGTTAAATGTCGAGCGCTGACCCCGTCAGTGTTTACGTCATGTGCTAGTGTGTCTATCAGATGTGTTTTAAGGACATGCACTGTTCAAACATATTTTTGTTTTCTAATATGCCTGGTGGAATTTGACAGCGTGCGTCTTGGACGCTACATTTTTCCCTGCGAATATTTTTCCGCATTTCTTGTTAATTTTGGTCGACATGGTAATAATTTCTAATCTGCTACACTGTTTTCTAGGTATATTTTTGGCTAATATTAAACAGGTTCTATAAAACAATATGTCCTGAAAACATTTCATCTACTTGACAAATACTGATACTCAGTAAGCATACGGCAAGTATATGCGCTAAAAACATGCGCACACGTCAAAAAACGGGGAAGTGGCACACCACCTTTAAGAGATCGATGAAGCTGTGCTATTATTATAGATGACGGGTCAGTGACCCCAAATCCAATGTTTTGCTTTATAGTCCAGTACAGTCAGTGTGTCCGCTAAGGCTGCTGAATAGCGTTGGGCGGTCTCCCTGTTCTATTTTGATCGAGGACGTGGGTAGTTGCGCACAACTTACGTGAAGGTGCCTCTAAAGATAGTTCAACGCAGTCTTTGCTACCATTCTCGGGGTAAGTTTGGCTATTATATACAAGGAAAAGCCGCACACTTTGTACATACGTGATCTAAGGTTTCAGTCCTGTAAACACTCAGTCGCTGTAGTTGCGCACCCCAAATACGGACACCTATATGATTGGTAACGCATGGTCACACAGGCACATCGGTGTCTAACGTGTGAAGCATACAATGCGACAAACTCGACAAACATTCAGATGTTACTTCTCAGGGCAAACGCTTTTAAGACAATAATAATCACATTCACTTAGCATATGTCGCCCCTCCCCCATGATTGCGCAGTCATATGCCTGGAACATGTCGCCAATATTAGAACTATTTACGACCCACAGTAAATGTGGCAAACTACCATTTAGTAGATTTGAATAATTTATTGGTTGTGAAACCCATGCCAAAATAGGTTCATGTATAAAACGGGGGGAACGTTGTGGGTAGATTTAATATGTAAGGCAGTGGCGGTGAACTGAGAACGAACTTTACTAGACCGCGTTCCGAGTTACAATGTATAATTGATGAGTGCGAGTGTGCCAGACTAGTAACTGGGTCAGAGTGATTAATGTCTCCCCTATCATATAGAAACGACTTGCGAGTTAGAATTGGTCTGACGGAAGGAGTGGTTTAAAAGGCATAGACGTCGGGCGAATTTTGTTCAGTCAGGACTGACTCATTTTGGATCAATTTGATATCCTGGCTCCAACAAAAAAAGATCGGCAAACATAGAAAGCCGATACCAAGTACGTACGCGTCACTGCCCTATGGGAGGAGTGACTCATTGGATATTGGATACCATTAACGTTATACAGCCCATATACACTGGAAGAATTCAACCCAACGGCGGAGACCCTTATGTGACGCCCGGCACTCTGTGAGAATACCTGTTGTAGTGTCCCTTATCGCAGGCGGAGCTAAAGGCATACAGTAACTAACTTTTACTTTGCAGATAGTTAGTACGTAGCATCACTCCGGAGTCCCGTACTAGGTGTTGTAGGAGCGACAGACAAAAAGAATACATTATATAGATCAGAACGCTACCATTACACAGAATGAGTGACATCATATACAATAGACAATCAGACTTGACCTCGGCTGCCCCAGTAATTGGAAATGAGCAATGCATTTTCAGAAACATGACATTTCGGCCTGGACCACGTGATTCACCATTAAACAAAATACAAGACTCACCCTGAATGGAATTCACACAGACGTGACAATGACTCCACTACTGTGTGCGTGTGTCACTCCTGCGACCTTGTTGTTTAACAATTTATTGTACTGTGTGCGTTGTCTCCAGACGGAATGAAGACTACTTGTTTGATGTAGACCCCAGGTTTCTAACATAAAACGTTTTTTTTCCAAACTATATGATTTAGAGTGATATATGACCGGTGCAATATGTCCAGCAGGACGACTAGTATTCAAAATATCTGGCACCTGTTGATTAGAATACATGAGAACACGGCCCAAAACAAACTCGGCACTGATTAACGTAATTTGTCCACTAGTTATGATTAGCTTTGTAGAATATTCCGCCTTACTGTCCACCCGGCTGTCCCCCGGTCATTTCTGTTGACACATTCCGAACAGTAATAATAGCATGCATATCGTTAAAAACAGCCACGGAGATAAAATAAAGTATTGAACACTGAAGAGTTCTGTTTTGGTGCCGGGTTCACTGTACATTTGGGTACCGAGTTCGTTTCGGTACCGGATTCACTTGTACATTTGGTGCCGGGTTCGCTTGTATACATTGTGTTCATGTATTATTTCAATGATTTGTCCATATTTTGTAATATATTGTCTATTTATTTTGGTTTGTGGTTGTATTATATGTTCATGAACTTGCATTTTCTGCATGCGTCTTCCGCATGTTGATCTACAGTTGTGTGTGCTTTATCCACCCCGCCCTGTTCCGTATAGACAACAAACGGTCTAATCTGTTCTTACCTAAGCTAAAGTTGAAATAACATACCCAGTCGGAGATAATCATTTGAAAGTAAGCAAAACTATTGATCTTTTTGTGTGTTTTTTTTGTTGGTACATATCAAGTTATTATTGCGTCACAACTTTATGTGTTCTTTGTGTTTTATTATTTTTATTTACTAGATAATATTCGCGAAGAAGAATATTTCTGTCTGTGGTTCAAGTAGACCGACGCTTTACAATGAGTGACAGGAACAAGCCGGAATGGACGGAAGTGACGCAAGAATACGATGGTGAAAACTGCGGACTTACGGAATTCCCGAATGATATTCTGCAGAAATATCGCCATGCAAGAGTGGTCTTACTAAGTGGTAACAGAATACGTCAGTTGCCCGAAACAATCAGATGTTTTGACCGAATAGTTCTACTCGGATTGAATGGTAACCGTCTATCAGCACTGCCGGAATGCATCGGCGAGCTGACAACGCTGAGGTCGCTGGGCGTACTGGGTAATCCACTGAGGTCGTTGCCAAGCTCATTGGTCAATCTGGTCAACCTGGAAGAGTTTTACTGTGATTCCATTCCTGGTTTGTTGGATAGAGGCGTCGGCATTTGGGAGGATAAAATGAAAGTACGAAGATTATGGATGGAAATCTTTCCCGATATGCCAGGTTAGCACATATGTGAATTACACCTTTTTATTATAATTAAAATAAAATGACGCCCTCTGCGGCTACAGAGGATCGCTATGACTGGCAGGTCACATTTTAGATAATTTTGCATGTTCCAATTTAAATTAGCAAGTAAACTGATGTTAACCTTATTAAATTCTATAAAATAAAAAAATAAAAAACACATCATCTCACGACCAGACAACTGCGCACGCGCGAGAATTGAGTTCTAAGCGACGATAACAACGCACGCTATAAAAGGCAATGGATTCTGGGTAGACGATTGTTTACAAACAACGAATAGCTATAGCCATCTGCCGCATGCGCAGGTGACGACACCTCCACTTTAAAGCATAATGACTTAGAGACTGAGTAACTAATTTATTTCAAAATAAAGATTTAAAATTTGCAACAATTTTGATGCTCATTTTACTTATTTCGCTTTGAGGGGTGTAGTCGTCATACGAGAACGCATTGGATTGTGGGAAATTCAATTTTTATATATCAACTCGAATGTCGCACATGAGCGGCGTGACTACCACCGGCCTTTAAACACTAAGATAAAGACTTCCCCTTCATTTTCAGAATCTGTGATTTTTTTCGTTTTTATACTTAAAAATACAGTATTTTTTACCAAGTAAAATCATATTAATGTTATTGTTCCTAGATGAGTTGTTGAACACAACAAACTACAATAGGTTTGTAATTTTATTCTACTTCCTTTATTCATATTTAAAGACAAATAAAACGCATTTTATCTTTTTTCTGTAATATTTTTATGTAATCGGTAATTATGAAAATTATCATTGGCGTGCACTTGGAATACATTTCGTTCTGAATTATTCTTAATATATTTTTTTAATTTTCCTGTAAAATTCAGTTGTTTTCATTTTTTCGCTCAAAACGAAAGATTTTCACAATGTCGAAAGGGCAACAGTTTATCGTTGTGTTGTCAAAGGACATAGTATGTTGCTGAATAAGTTATTACCTAAAGAACTATACAACAGAGAAGTACCTCGTAAAATCTCGCTGTGACGTCACTTAATCACCATTGTTTATACTAAAACATATTCTACCACTACTTCTTTGTGTTCAATGCTTTTCGAGTGTATTCACCCGGAAAGATATTTAAAATATAATAAACTACGCAGTCAGAACAAATAAAATGCTGACGGAAGTATAGCTGCAAGCTGCAATGAGTGGGTTCTTAGATCAGTAAGTTCAGGTCAATTATTGATCGGATGATAAATGATCAGTAAAAAATAAATGAGAAAATTTCTGAAATAACTTGAAAAAAAATAGAAAAAATAGAAAAAATATCTAAACCCCCAACACAAATCTTGTTTGAACCTGCATTTACAAACACACACTGAGCGGACCGGTATTACCATATAATTTATAATTGCTGCTACTACGCTATTAAACAGTGTTACACTGTCTTTTATAACAAGCATTCTAAGAAATCCCTTCAGATGCATGCATATTAGCTTATAGTGATAATCGTCGGCGATTTTTCTAATTGCCATTACATACGGACACTGAAGAAGGGTGAAGTCTTATTCATGAACATGTGAGCAGTGTAACTACGTTGAAATTATTGTATAAAACGTGTCCTATCAGGAAAAAAACAGACGAAATCAGCTGTAGCAGTGAATAATTAACACTTCCTCTGAAGTTAAACTCGGCTGTCACTCTGAATTCTTCATATTTTATATCCACAGAACAAAATGGTGGCAACATCTTCGTTGATTTTAGACTAAAAAATAATGGCCCACAACGCCGATGTTCTTCCATTAAAAGCATTTTCTGATTTGAATATGTTTCCAAAACATAGCTTTTTAAAGGGCAGTGGTTGTTGCACAGCGCATGTTCCAATTTCATGTAAACAGTGTATTTTACATGTGTCATGTATGTTGCCATGAGTCCTATAAAGGACGCGGCATGATTACCACTACCCTTTAAAACCAGATATGAAACACGCAATTTAAAGTCCCGAGTGTAAAATGTACCACATAATTAACCTTTCATGACATACAATCACAAAATGAACCCCACAATGTATCATTGGTAACTGCAGATATCGACCAGAGCAAACCTGAGAAACTGAAACCCAAGATGACAATTGGGGACGACCTTTCAGATGAAGATGATGAGGTAGTTGAAAGGAAAATGAGTGTGGAGATAATGGAGAGATATCCGATGGGCCATACGTCAAAGGGTCAAGCAATTATTATCAATAATAACAAATTTCAAACGCTTCCTAGTAGAGATGGAACAGAGATTGATGAAAGTAAGTTAAGCGTTCATTGCAATTACCTCGCTGACTGCAGCTACTTAGCAGAAGACAAGTAGAAAACTACAAGTTACTCATGGACTACAGTTACCATGTAAACTAAAATTTCCCATAGCAGACTACAATTACCGTGCAAACAAGGATTGCATATGGCAGGCTACAAGTACCTAAAATCTCCATGAATGATACAAATACCTTGCAGACTACAAACACATTGCAGACTACAATAACATTTTGGGATATGTATGGTAAATATGTATGGCAGACAACAATAGTCTGGCAGACTACATCTACTTAAGTAAGACTACAAGTACATAGCAGTCTATCATTTTCTATGGCAGATTCTAATGTTCTTGCAAACTCACCTCACAGGCACTCGCCTACAATTACCTTGCAGACTAAACATATCTACAGCATACAGCAGATGGGAATTTGATAACTTGCCACTCTGGCACGGGAAAAACTTGTGTATCCTATGTGGCTGACAAATATCTATATCATTGAAACTTTTTCAGTTATATGATGTACAACAAATCTGTTGTTGACCATCATACACAAAGTATTGCACCTCCTTAAAATTACACCAGTCACCGCACATTAGCATAAAAAGTAAAGACAAACATTTGACATCATTGGATATCAGAATAAGCGTATTCATGAATTTAATAACATTCATGATAACCTTTTTTTCCTAAGTAAATGCAAATCATAAAGCTATGGCTACAGCAAATGTTGAGACAAGTCACACAGAAAATTGACATCGTGGTTGAATAGTTCCTGTTCTCCATAGATCATATACAATGTTATATTTTCATTCCTTCTTCTGTAGGATCTACGACAGAAGTTGGAACGTTGTATTGATTTATTACTGTTATGGTTTGTGTGGCTGGTTCCAATAAAAGTCAGTTTTCACTCATCGCATTATTTTATTTACTCTTCCCTCTATTTATCCCTGTAGAAAAAATTGAGGATTTATTTGAAAGTCTGGGTTTAACAGTGCATATCTATCGAGATATGACTGCTGATGAAATCACAACAGCCTTAAGATGCCTGAGTCGACAGGAACACCACAAAGCCTCTTGTATCGCAGTGTGCATACTCTCACATGGTAGAGGAGATGAGGTCGTCGGTGTTGATGGGAAATCTATTCACATTGAAGACATCACCAGATGCTTCAAAGCAGCTGAATGCCCCACTTTAGCTGGAAAACCCAAATTGTTCTTCATCCAGGCGTGCCAGGGCAGGGATGCGACGCAACCCTCCAGAGTGGAAGCGGGTGGCAGTGTAGCAGCCATTATTCCGAACGAACCTGATTTCTGTATCAGCCTGTCAACCTCCGGGTGTGGAGCATTGAGAGATGCCGAGAATGGAACGTTTTATATCACGCAAATAGTCGACATGTTGAGCACCTCTTCAGAGGAACGTGATTTTCAGCATGTTCTCTCAGAGGTACACAGTCAGGTTGCTAAGCGACTTGGGTACACCTCCTGCACACCATTCTTCAGCAGCCTCGTAAAGAAACTTTACCTGTGAAGGGTTTTAGGGGCTTACTAGTGTTTATGAATATTCCTTAGACATAAATGGTCGCCGAGATCTCATTCCCAAAAGAACTCAAGTTTTTGCCTCTCATATAATGTTTTATTTTCTCTCGTCACTACATCAACTGTTTCATTGATCTATTAACAGCGGGAGAGAACGGAACAATGTTTGTGGGGCAAAAACAAGTCTTGTGGCTTTCTCAATGGGATGTATAGGCGGCCATTTGCATTAAAGATCTAATGCAATATCAATTGATCTTATTTATACTATTGATAGAGACGAATAGTGGGTCTTAATACAATCTAATGTCTCATTCGTAGCCAGTCAGGCCATTGACGCTGCAGGTTGGCGTCCTTTCTACGCCGATCTGCAATAAAACAATTCCCTATTATAATTTTTCTCTGTTGCGTCCTCTAGTTGTGAAGCACTTCTATGTGACGTAATTGTGTCAGCAGTCGTTCGTCATTTAGAGCAGAGTAAATATTTCTTTGTTGATGTACGATTATCTAAAACAGTGAACTATAGATCAAAAACTATAGCTGCGCAGCTAATGTGATTCTCATATTCAACTATGTAACTGACGTTATTCGTCGCTAGGGGGCGCTTTTGTTGGATACTATACTAGTAGGTGAATAA